ATCAGAATAAAGTGTTCCGTTCTACCACAGCATTTACCCTTGCTTAGGGGTAGATGCAAGTAGCAGGGACACAAATACTCGAAATAGACTCTCTTTACTCAAAAGTCGATTGATCCCTGCCTTTTATTCAAATATGGGCCCAGGTTCTGTAAGCAGAAATCACAAAATTCCGAGTCGTATTCCTGCTAGTCAATTGACATCAACACGAAGAGATCTGAAATCCAACTTTTTATCCAAATATAAAAATGAACTAAATCTATTATTATACACATAGGTTTTATTTCATTTTAATTTCAAGATGCAAATCAATCATTTTGCATAGTGACTATGATGGTAATATATGCAATTTTTTAGAAATAATAAGTCACATACAGTTATTTTTTTTGTGAAAAATAACCCCTAAATTTTCACGTATAAAAAATATTTTCTGAATATGACAATTTTAGAACATAACAGGGACGACAGAAATTTAAACTGTCAGTCGCATAAGTTAAAAAACATGTATGACGTCAGAAGAGGTTTATAAATCTGAGGGTTTGTTTGAAGGTGATTGACAATGTTTCGTGATGAATTTCACTAGTTCGGACTTCCATTGTCTATTATATAAAATGATTTGAAATCCCTGAAACAAGTAAAAAAGAATAATTAAAAAAGAATAGCTGAAAATAACAATTATATTAAGCAACAATAAACCTGAAATGAAATGATAGTGAAATAACCTACAAGTAAAAATATAATAAATTGAATAAATAAAAATTAAAGGAATGAAAAAAGAAAATAATAAAAATTGAAAAAGTGTAGAGATTCCAAGTCACGTTAGTTCACGACGTTTCGATTGTTGGTATCTACAATCGTCTTCGGGTGATGACATCTTCTAATTATCCTTGAAAATGGATATTCTAATATTGATTTTTCTTTATTTTGTTATATCACGGTTAGTAAAAATATGAAAAATCTCTGAAATTCGAGAAAAACATGCTATTAATTTCTTTGAAAAATTTCAAAAATGGTGTTGCATTTCATCAAAATTTTTGGTGTTGTAAATGCTTCAATTACTGAAAGGAATTTATTCACTATAATCATTGGAAGAATTAGTCGAAATGACTAATATAAACATCTATTTACATTCATTAATCAAGCCATTTAAAAGGACTTTCGATTTCAAATTTTAATAATTAACATTATGAAAGTTAATGTTCTTGCATTTTCCTCATTAAACTACGTCTGGCATGACATTGATATTTAATTTGAATATAATTTTCGGAGAAAGTTATTGTGTAAATAACTCGCAAGTCAAGGTTAGGTGAGTTTGTTTACTACCATATGTCATATACATGGATTTTCTAATAATCTCTGAACGACGACAAGCAAGTGATACGGGATCGTTTAAGAATTTGTTTCTGTACCAAACAATAAATTAAAATTACAGTTGAAATCATTGAAATTGAATTCAATGTTACATAATGTGAATGAATGATTGCAAATATGCAGTACGAGATGTTGTAGAAAAAGTGTGGAATATAGAGTTTTGAATGGGTTCACGTAAAAAAAAATTGTCGTAGGTATTCAACAATTTTGCCTATCAAAAAATTGCTAACAATTAATACTTATCTTTACGTTTCGGATGCCAAAATATGCCTCCGTCTTCAGAAATGGACAAAAAATTCTATTTTGAATTTGAATTTTGAATTTGTGAAGCTGTTATTTTCAATTAACAGCTTCACAAATTCAACACCATCCAACTCAACAATTACCGACTCAACATCCACCTATTCCTTTCACAACTAACGTTATACCTTACATTTCAAGACTATCTGGAAAAATAAGACGAATTGGAAATAGGTATGATGTTAGAACTACTTTCAAAACAAAAAATACACTGAGATCTATACTCATACATAAAAAAACCCAACAATACTGAAGAAAAAACAAAAAATTGTATTTATGAGATACCTTGTTCTTGTGGTGAAAGTTAAATTGGTGAAACTTCGAGACCATGAGAGACGTGAGAATGAACATGGAGATTACATAAAAAATAGACAATTGACAGGATCTAAACTGTCAAAACACAGACGGTGAACATCGAGTGGAATGGAACAAGACAAGAATGATGACCAATGAGCCTCACTCTAAGAGACGTAAGCTAAAAGCATCAGCGTATATCCTCATATCTTGACAGAATTGTATTTCAAACAACTCCTTAGAAATAGACCGTACTTGGCTAACTATCTTCAAGAAAAATTTAGATAGTAGCGAAATGACAACAGACTGAGGTCGGAGAGCACCTTGTATTAGATCGAATGTTTGAGTTATCAGTCAACAACATTGACATAATTTCATATTTCAAAACTCCCTTAACATCTGTCGAAGAAGTAGAGAAATAAATAATCAAAAGGAATAACTGCAAATATCTTTGGATTTTTTGGTTCATTTCTGAAGACGAAGGCATATTTTGGCCTCCAGAAGGTAAAGATAAGTGTAGCAATTTTTTTGATAGGCAAAATTGTTAAATACGACAAATTACTGATAAATAGAAAATGTTTCTTTGTGAAAAATACTTTGATTTTACGCAGTAACTTATCGGGGTAAACTGAAAAATTTGCCCTTTCTATACTTGTATAAAGTGCTCCACGCAGAACTTAAAAAAAGCATGTGCGTTCCGGGACGCCCAACTGAATAAGTGATGACTTTAACTAATCTAAGTTGAACTATTCAATATTGAAAAGCTTGGCTTGTTACTTTAATTTTCTGTACATTAATATGATAATATAATGAAAGGTTATTTAATAATAAAATATTTTATTGATTATTAGCCAAGTGTTACTTTTGTAGGATTAAACAACACTGAGCGTCTGTCCGACTAGAGAGGAGGACCCTGCCTTCAGAAATACCGCGAAGTAAGTGTCTGGGTTCATAATGGACAATAACTGGCGCCTGGAATCCTCTTAGAACTCCGTCGATGAGTCCAAAAGAGGGCTGATGTAGGTGCTCATACTGAACATTTTCTGTAAATCATACTGGGAGAAGTGATATGAAACTGTATTATTATCAGTCATCGTACACTTTCTCAATCTCTATAAAATTAGAAGTGTTCTGAAGAAATTATTGAAATCTCGTTTTATAACGTTATTGATATTCCATGCTGTGTAATTTATGGTACATAAAATTGAATTGGTTCTATAGTAGTTGTAGTGTTTTATGTTTTCAACATGAGATAGTATTCAAACCGATATAGTTATGGAATGATACTAATTATTTCCCTCAATGCATAAAAACGATGAAACGGTTGAAGGTTAGGCAGCGTTTACAGAGTTTTACAGCGATTCCATGCACCAGACCTGTTTTACTATTGAAATTAACATTAATCGATACTCAAATTTCACATATATTTCAACATTTGGATTTTGACATTAAGTTTTTTTAATTTTTACTATAGTTTCCTTTTTCTGGAAATAATGACAAAATATATTCCTCATACACCAAATCCAACAAATTTTGCTTATAAGCAAATAGGCTCCCTACCAAAATATAGTACCTATGTGAAAAATCGATAATATGTCGAAAATGCAAGCAAAAAGTAAACCAAGAACTACATATTGTATTTTGATTATGTTATATTTCTGAAATCAGTGAAATGATGAATACGCCGGCTCTGTATGTACATACAACTAATTTCAAAGGATTAAATATGGCGCACTCGGGATATAACCCTAGATAAGATGTATTGTGAATATATTCTCAATCTACAAAATTCTCTCGAAGTGATGTTCCTAAAATATTAATAGAACAATTCAAATATTAACCAAATACTCGTATGCCTAACTCAGATACATTTCGAATGATCCCTACTTTTTTGATACTTTTACCTTTTTCATTCTAGTGAAATATGTATACTGTTGGTTAACCTTGTAACAAGGATGGAATAAACATGATTTTTTAACAATTTCATTTCAAGGTCACGAGAAGTCGAATATCTCCACTGATGACGCATGTGTATTCTTTTGTCTACCCAATTTTAAGCACAAATGTTCAGATACAAAGTTCCTCAAAAACATTCTCGCTTGGAGAAGCCATTGTATAGCGAAACACGTGTCATAGTTTCTTTCAAACCCTCGTAGTGAAAATCTTGCAATAAATTTTGTATCGCATATTATTATTATGGATTTTCATCAAGTATCGGTCAGTTTAACCCAACTAACCTTTACTCAAATACCGTTTTTGAATATTTACATAAAAAAGGGGTGCTTTCAATTGAATTCAATTAAATTTAATTATATACTGTTTCGCTATACAATAGCTTTCTCGAGCGTACGAAAAAGCCTGAGGAATTATTGTATAGGTAAACATGTGTTGCGGTTTTGTGAACTTTACAGTGAAAATCTCACGGCCTCCACACCCGGAAAATAGTTACATGGTTACTGGTGTGTTGCGATGTTGAGAAATTTTTTGAAACGATCATCACAGTATTAAATGATTGTGATGTTTTTCGCTGCCATAGAGTCTCATTTCCTGTAATAAATTGTGAAAATTTGCTTCCTTTTTTTCGCCTACTTTTTCTCATTCAGATATGCTTTTTCTCCTCTTTGAAAAGAGGAAAGATAATACTATTAAATTTATATCTCATCTTTTACTAGTTTTTGATGTTTGTACTCTTTTGGGGTCAGTAAAAAACTGAATACCCAAATAGATCTTTGTCAGAAACTATTAAAATATTCTGTGTCTTTGTGTTTCTTGTATTTGAATTTTTTCCGTCATCCAAAAACAGTTTGTTCTCGCAAATAATAATTTCATCAAGTCCATCAATCACAAAACTATCAATCTTGGTCATCATATTGTATGTCATAATTTGTCATAAATTGTTTTCGTTTTTCATCATGGGAGAAAATTTAAAATGTTCGGATGAATCTTTTCAGCCAATTGAAAATTTGTATATTTCCACCAATCAGTGGAAATTCAGCCTTATTTGTAGAATAATGAATGCACTAGCAAAAGATAACGAATACAATACGAATCGATAGATAGGTACTTATTCGATGCGCATATTCTAATATGACTAGAGACAGGTTAGGAGAATTGTTGACGGTAATACTTTTACATCTTTCAAAACGTAAAATTTATATTCTTCTTGTAGGTCCGAAACCAAAATGTTATCTTACAGAAAACTGAAAATGTAAGTACTTATTTATTCGAGGAATAATATTCACAGGTACAACATATTTCAGGATGCAACTGAATTAGAAGATTTAGGTTTGCGGAGAACATTCGAAAGAACTAAAATATTAGAACATCTCATAAGTACTGTTGAGAGAAACATAGATGATGTGCGCCAAATCAAACGATATGATTTGGGAACCAACCACAAAGGTGAGTGTAAACTTAACTTATCAGTTATCTAGCAAGTGGTGACTCACAGTAACAACAGTATCATTGGCGGAACTAGTATTTTAGATTTTCTATGAGTCTGAACGAAGTCCAAGAATGGTGATTTTTCAGTATAGTCAGTAACAAAACTGATAATAATAATACCGACCAGCAAAAGACCCATATGAAAGCCGCAGAGGTCACTTTTTCCTGCGGCAATACAAGTATAAGTCAATGCATGGGGTCAACAACATTGAAGACCTAGGATTATCAAGGCACTTGACCTTCGCTTTCCTCAGGTCGAGTTGGCTGAAGTCAGAAACTGATGTGTTTCTCATAGCCTGCCAGCATGGTGTCTTCAACACCTTAGTCGTGTGGTAGATATAGAGGTTTCTAACACAAAGTGCAGGGCCCGTCGCGAGACGCCTGAGACCCCCAATGCACTTGCTGTTAACATGTCCCGCATATGCGGTCTCAGTCTATACCCATCGACATATAACGCGGCGCTAAAACACATTTACGGTATTAACGAGACACCGATGTTGCACTACGCTCCGGGGTATATTGAATCCATTGTGTGAAATGAGAAGTATCGAATTTATTGGAACCATTCATTCCCCACCCTCAGTTTCATACAAAATAATAAGCCTGATGTAGTTGTGTTCGGCCAATAGGGTGTCGTGGAGTTTTCAGTTCCCGATGAGACGAATATCGTCCAAGGAGAAGAGAAAGAAAAACAAATAAAGTATCGAGATTTTCTCTTCGAACTCCGCAGACTCTATCCAGACCACTCTACATTCAGATCTCAAAATCATGCCGCTTTGCCGAACGAAATCTTGGCCGGACAAATGCAGAAGGCTGTCATTCTTGGCTTATTGCGTCTGCCTATGGCACATGATTCTTGGGCCTAATGATCACTTAGCCAACGATGTGGGAGTGGTCATTGGTTGATAATGCTAGCGCGCCCTCCCAAATGTATCGGGGCTTCGGGGGATAGGGCCTGACTAGCGCAAATTCAGGGAAATAATAATAATTATAATAATGATCAGAGAAAACACTGAATATTCAATATAAGATACTACAACTTGATACATACCCGTCCAGACCTAGAGACGGCGGTAGTTTTTCGAGTAATATCACATTATCAGAAAGTACACAATCTATAAAGCATATGTTTCAAGTTTGAAGACGCTGCGTTGTTCAGTATTTGTTTGGCGGCCATCAAAAGCGAACGTTTTCGCGGAATTTGTGAAAATGGAGAAAATTTGTCATCGTTATGTGGTACAATACTTTTATTTGAAAGGCCTCAGATCAATCAATATAAAAGCTAAAGTGAATTCTACTCTGGGTGAGTCTTCTCTTACATTTACAACAGTAACATTTTGGGTAGCAGAGTTTAAACGAGGCCGTACAAGCTGCCAAGACGAGCATCGAAGTGGTCGGCCAAATGAGGTGACAACTCCAAAAACTGTGAAGAAAATCTACGAAGCGGTACTGAATGATCGTCGACTAGAAGTGCTCGAGCTAATAGACTCAGTAGGCATTTCAAAAAGTGCTGTACATCGTATATTATCTGAAAATTTGGACATGACAAAGCTGTCTGCAAGATGGGTGCCGCGTTTGCTCACAATAGAGCAACAACAGTGCCGTGAAGATGTTTCAATTGCGTGTTTAGTGAAGTTTCACAGCAGCAAAGCAGAACTCTTGCGTAGTTTCATAACCATGGATGGAACATGAGTCCATCACTTTACACCCAACTCAAAAAAATAATCAAAATAGTGGACTTAAAAATGAGAGAACCGGCGCCAAAGAAGGCGAAGACCATTTCATATGCAGGCAAGGTAATGGCATCGGTTTTTTTCGATGCGCGTAGGATAATTATCATTGACTATTAAAAAAGGTAAAACTATCAACGTCGTCACCTGAAATTGTGATAATCGTATCGTCAGGATACGATATGAGCATCTGTGATAAATTAAGGTGAATCATTTACATAGAGAACAAATATATGATGGACTTGATGAAAATCCATGACGTTTTCAAAAAACACTTTCCTAACTCTCAGTTAGGAAAGACACGCCCGAACAAGCCATTGTATGGCGAAACACGTAATGCATTTTCGTAAAACTGTTATGTGAAAATCCCACAATAAAGTGTTCCATGAATATATAATAAAGAACAAAGACAAGTGGTCCCAAAAACTATACTTCTGGTACCCCCATTTGAAATTCTTATGACTCGGATTTTATGTTAATACATATCACCATCATTCTTCGGTCTTTCATGTATGGTATAACCTAATTGAAATTTTGTTGATAACACTGAGTAATGATAGCTTGATGGCTATAATCTCAGAGCACACCGTATCAAATGCAGCGAAAGAACATGCTTGTTGTTATCAATTTACCGAACGGATATTCATACAGTTTTCTCCACTGGACGGATTGATTCAAGATCAAGATTTATGTGTGTAATTAATTCCTCAATGTTTTGTGTAAATTGTTTCGAATATATCTATTGAAAACGCTTCCTCGCCAGAACAAAAATACAGTCTCCTTAAACTCCATCGATGATACTAACTATATTAGCAAAACGCTCAAGAGAAACTATTTCTGTTCTGGTGAGAAAAAAGGTGTTTTCATCGAATTCATTTCACGCCAGAGGTTCCAAATTTGACTTATCAAGTGGTTAAAATATGACGCTGTTAACCGTGCGGAGCCGGGGAAATCAATCAATCAATCAATCAAAATATACTTTATTGTCTAAAAAACTCTTGTTTTGTTGACAAAGTAGAATATACACGTAATAAACCTAATACAAAATTTAGGCAAAATACACACAATTATGTAAAATATAAATAAAATAGAATAAAAATAAAAATGAAATTGTTATATAAACAAGCAGTATATAAACATATACATTTATCAATTATACATTTTATTCAATAGAATAAGTGTCAATGAATAAATAAAATATCAATCATAAAATGTTATTTGAACATTTTGTCAATTTTACGACTTATAATTTAACAGTCTAATCGAGTATGCTATACAGTACCCGCAATAAATTACAATTTCACTGGAAGTTGTCATTGTAAAATTCTTGCAAACTATAATAGGGTCTGCTCGCGAGAAGTTTTTTTGTGTATTTTCTGAAGCTATCAGTACTATCGTAGCTATTTCTAAAACGAGACGGTAAGTGATTATACATTTTAACACCGTTATAGGAAATGGAGTCCTTCACTAGGGATGAAGAAGGCAATAGTAATTTAAAATTATTTTTTGATTTTAGGCGAGTGCTATGACACGAAGAAATATATTCAAATTTTGACCTATGTTTGTGTATAAGACACGCAGTTTCCATTACAAAGAGAGCCACAACTGTCAATATATTTTTTTCTGCAAATAACTGCCTACATGAATTGGGCGGTCCTAGTTTGAACACATATCTAATGGCTCTCTTTTGCAGTTTAAGTACTGAATCTAGCAGACTAGAGTTACATACCCCCCAGAAAGAATGGCATATCTCAGTTGAGATTCAATTAATGCATAATATGCGTTCATAGCCGTGGCAGTACCAAGTTCCCTTGAAATAATTCTCATTGCATAGCACCCTGAGGAGATTTCATTCTTCAATTGGTTGACGTGTGCTTCAAACTTCAATTTACTGTCAATATATAGGCCCAAAAATTTTGTGCAGTCTTTATTTTCAATCTTCTCATTTTCTAGAGGCATATCTTCTAAAGTACATTTGAAAGTTAATATATTTGTTTTTTTTTATATTAAAAGAGAGAAGATTCGAGTCGCACCAAGACTTGATTACATTAATATCTCTGCTTATCTTATTATTCAAATCTTCAACAGTTTTACTATGCCATAAAATGGTGGTGTCGTCAGCAAATAAGGTAATTTTTCCAGAAGTATTTATACACAGTAAATCATTGATATATATAAGAAAAAGAGTGGGTCCCAAAACCGATCCTTGTGGAACTCCACGATTAATATATTTTGAAGTTATATCACTTTTTACGACTTGACTGCGCCCAGTTAGGTAGGATTCGAACCAATCCAAAGTAACTCCCTCACAGCCGTAGTAATGTAGTTTCCGCAAAAGTATTTTGTGGTCTACACAGTCAAAAGCCTTTTTTAGGTCACAAAATACTGCTGCAGCTACATCTCCGGCATTTATATCTGAATATACTTCATACAGGAAGGAAAAAATTGCATCTTGGGTGTTCTTTTTAGCCTAAAATTCAAATTGATTTTCTTTAATGATTTTATGAGCAATAAGGAATTCATTGAGCCTTTTTTTCACTAGTTTTTCATTTATTTTTGCTAGGGTCGGGCGAGTTACTAGTTAACTACAAACTACGATTTGAAAATCAACCACTAGTAGAGAAAGACTTACGAACATGATTATAGAGCAATTCCGTGAGGAATGTTTTGAATTTTCGATTAGACAGCTCCATGAAATTCGGTGGTGGATAATTATATTTTTTTCACATCAGTATCTAGTAGTCCGTTTCGCCTTTGTTCGTAGTTATAATTTAATAGCTTGAATACTTCATTAATTGTCTCAAACGAATTTTCATCAGAAGAATGTGCCAACATACTTGTTTTCTGTCTTGCAATGAACAGAATTTGACTAAAATTATCCGTTTGTGTAAGCATTTCTCAACTTTTTGTACTCACACATAATTGAAATCTTCAGCTTTTGAATAGAAGCCAAGGGAGAAAACTTCAGTTTTTGTAATCTTGAAGATCCAAATATTAGTTGGAAAATATTTCTTCCAACTTACTGTTTTTGAAAAATATTCACTCGAACTTGTTATAACCTATCTGCTGTCACCAATGTTACTAATAAATAAGTACAAACATGGTACACTTATACAAATTTAACAACTCCAATAATCCAACATTGAATCTAGTACTTAAGCTACACTTTAAAATCATCACATTCATTAAACTTATCCACTGCGTTTTTTCTGCTTACCTTCATCCTGTGTCCAAGGTGAGGAAGACCAGATGGGAAAAAGTGAGAAATACATAATTGATTAAACCAGGAAAACTTTGCCACTTTCAGAGCTCATTTGAAGACGTTTAAAAATTTACTGATTGAACGATTATTACGATACACCAGTGAAGTCACCAGAAGCATTAGATAACATCCGAATGATTTTTTCTGGTCCATATAAAAAATTTAAAGAGGCTATGGTTTCTCCGAGATGAAACATCGGCTTGGTAATTTGCAAACGCTATCTTGTTCAGCTTCAAAGTTGACAATGAGAAAGTGTTTTTATTAAGTCTTTTTCAAATAACATTTCTTATAACCAGAAAATGAAAATCTCCGGAACTAATCGAAATCTCCCAAATTTTGAAACAGCATTTAAATACGATCTATTACGATTACGCCCGGCTATGGCGAAGAACGCTTACTGCGCAACCTCTGTTGCAGGCAGCCAGTGATGCAATTGATGCACAGTGATGCACAGGTTCGTGTTTAATAAACCCTACGAAATACATATAAAACAAAACACAGAGTCAGATGCTACAAATGCAATACGCATATATTCATATGGCTCAAAAACCAAAGATGGCTCAAGATGTGGAGTTTATTCCAGATCACTAAGCTTAAGGATTAAGTGGGGAATGGAAAAAAAAACCAGCGTGGTTCAAACAGAACTGGCTGGTATCTCAATCGTCACAAAAGAAATAACCAGGAAAGGAATTTCTGGCAAAAACATAATAATCTGAACTGATAGTAGACAAGCCCTATTAGCCTTGAAGAGACAAAGTGTTACCTAGGGGCTAGTACTAGAGTGTCACCAAGAGTCAGCCAAAGCCTCGGTAGATAATAACATTATCCTGAGGTGGGTTAAAGGGCACGATAAAAGTAAAGGTAATCGCATTGCCGACTCCTTAGCCAAGGAAGCGGCTGGACTAAGAATGTTAGGACCCAGGGATGGAATCAAAGGATGTAGTTTTGTCAGGATCACCCTGGGCGACTCTGGGAAGTTGGCGCCGAAGAAATATCTGGCGATGACCAGGAAAAACCTACGCTTAACAGTAGGATTTCTAACTGGCCACTGTCAACTAAGGAAACACCTCCATAGTATGGGGCTAGTGGACACACCTCTATGCAAGACGTGTGAACACGAAGATGAAACTGTCAGGCATGTCTTATGCGAGTGTCCTGAGTTATCATCAATAAGAGAGTTCGGCGAGTCTTGGCCTACACCTGCCGATATAAAGGAGATGTCTCCTAGTGACCTGTCCACCTTCCTGGAAAAAACAGGATGGACGATGTCCTAGGACCTATTGAACATCCTCCTCGGGAGGATGTTCAATAGGTCACATGTGGCCTAAGGGCTCTCCTTCCTACTCTACATATATAGATGAATAAGGTCTATAATGGGCAACATTTTCATAATTTAACTGATTTTGTATCTCTCAAGGTCTTCGATCTTTCATTGCTGGCCCTTCCTATCATGGATACATAGTACAGTACATTTGAACATTTTCGTGAATTTCTGGTATTCTTTATATTTATGGTAACTGATTCCGAAACCATGGCGACGATTGACGTTATTGGTACATTAATCGAATTGCGAGTTTCCGGGAGGCAATTGATTGAAAAGTTTCCCTTATCCGTTTTACTTACTCCATAACAAACGTTTGATATTCAACTTGTTTCTGATCCACAGATCTTGACGACCGAATCGAAAGAATATTCGTAACCAACACCAGTATTTGCCTTCAAATAAATAGAAAATTAAAAGACTATGCAGAAGAACTTAAAACTACTTGTGCAGACTCTACCGACGGAAGAATAAAATTTGTGCAATACAACACACTCAGAAATAGATACATAAATATCTTCAAGCAAAACAATGCTGAATTGGAAAACTTCAGGAATATTCAGAAGGCACATTTAGAGGCCCAACTCAAAGCGAAAGGAATTCGAATAACCGATGAGGAACTAACAGCCATCTTAGAAGAGAAAGCAGACTTGAAAATCTTCACAGAGAATGTAAGTACACAATTAGGAGCGAATACGGCTTATTGAGCAAATATAGTATAGTTCTTAAGTACCATTTTGCAAAATTGGAGATAACCTTTACAGAAAGAAAGTGGTGGTGTCATTTCAGCCAAATTGTGCAGAAAATATTTTAAAAATTATGAACAAACCAATTCAAATTATTCAACACCTGTACAAATGTATATTAGTTTTGGATACGTTTTGATATGAATAAACCTCCTCCAGAAATAGAGCGAGTCAAGCAAGTAAATGCTTGTCATCCCAACCCGATTCCTTTTAGGGTGGTTTGTTCGAAATCACAATCATTGCGTTATTTATCAAAACGGTGAAGAAAACATCTAACTGAATTAATATCACTGCACAACAAAATCGAACTTTTTTTGTGGCAAGAGATTTGTCACCTGTTGCTCATTATTTTAGGCTCACTTATTTCAAATCTACTCTCTAGTTCAGGAAATACGGGTAGGTACCCCCTTAAAATGTACTCTCTATTTGACTGTTGATATTGCTATCGTCAACGTCTTACTAGTTTGTTTCTTTTTTGCAATGGCTTCGTCTAGAAGGACCTGTGTATAGATTTTGTCACATTTGTAGCAAGTATACATTCAAAAAATTCTCTTTACATGTGTCGGACTCCATGAAAAATTTCTAAATGGGGTACTTTCAATGGCCATTGGAAACAAACAACAAGTCCTGGATACCGAATATAGTGTGTAAAGCGTGTGTGGAGTATTTATGATTATGGAAAAATAACAAGAGATATCCCTTGATTCTCAATAGTCTTATGATCTGGCGTGAACCTTCGAACCACCACGACGACTGTTATTTCTGCGTCGTGGACATAAAAGGAATTAACCACCTAAATAATTCCAAGGGGGTTTATCCTACTATGCCGTCAGTTACTAGATCTGTCCTGCGTTCAACTGACACATTGGGACCCCAAACAAGTACACTTCAGGTATGTCCGCACAAAGTTGTTTAACGAATGGAGGAAAGTGACACAAGCTGCGAAGATAGTGGTAGCGAATTTGAAGACGCCGATAGACCAAGACCATTGAACCAAGAGGATCTGAATGATTTAATAGGAGATCTCGGATTGTCTAAAGCTTCATCAGAACTTCTAGCTTCTCGATTGAAAGAAAGAAGTTTGGTCACCAAAGAAATGAATGTCTCATTTTACCGTATCAGGGAAAAGAAATTACTTCCTTTGTTTTCTAAGGAGGGCGATTTTGTATTTTGCAATAACATTCCGGGATTTGTGGTTGAAATGGGATTAAAAAGATACCACCCTAATGATTGGGGTTTGTTTATAGACTCGTCAAAATGCAGTCTTAAATGTGTACTTTCACATAATGGCAATAAACTTGGCTCATTGCTCATTCAACCAAAGCTAAAGAATAATGTTCCACAATATATCTGGTTTTAGACAAAACTGAATACACATAACACAACTGGCCATATGCGTGGGCCAACAAAGCGTGTATACGAAATATCCGTGTTTTATTTGCTAGTGGGACAGCAGAGCTAAAACTGAGCATTGGACCAGAAAGGATTGGCCGCTTGGACACGAAATAATGTAATAAACCTAGTATCTCGGTAACGCATAATATTACTTCCTTTACACATCAAACTAGGATTGATGAAACAGTTCGTAAAGGCACTACACAAAGAGGGGCAATGTTTTCATTATATGTCCAGATCGTTTCCAAAATTGAGTGGACCACAAATTAGAAAATTAATAAATGATGTAAATTTTACTGAAAGTATGACAACTGCTGAAAAAATACCTGGAATGAGTTTATTTCGCACGTTAAAAACTTTTTGGGAAATAAGAAGTGCGTCGACTTTCCTGACCACGTCAAGCAGTTACTATTATACTTTCAGTAACTTGGATGCAACATAGCCACCTTGATCGATTTCCTGAAAATCTTGGAGATTTAATGGAAGAATTTTTCATCAGGATATTCGCACCATGGAGGAGCGCTACCAGGGCTATTGAAGTGCAAGTATAATGGCTGACTACTGTTGGATCATCCAGAATAGTAGTAATACTCCTACTAATTCAAGAAGAAGAAAAGAAAGTTTTATTCTAATTAGATAGTAAAATAAATTGATATTAAGAAAAATACAGACTTTTGAAATACAGTTCAATGCAATAGAGGAACTTGAAAGTGCATAGGTATTACAGGCACCATTTGACTAACAACCATATTGTATATATATTTTTTTTTCGGTTCCTGTGGGTCCATAGTTAACATTGATACGCGAAAAGTGATCTGAGATTGAGCATTTTCGTTTCTTTATATAGCGATGTAGTGTATTATTTTCCAAACGGTATTTTGTGCTGATTAAAAAGCATTCGAAGCGGTACAGAGAATTATTTCCCATGCAAGAATAGGTTCAATAATTTATTGTCGACTCATCCAATATAAAGAATAATTGAGTTTTTTCGAGTCTCTCAATATACACGCCGATTTTTTTAGCTGATCCCGCTATTGCTATCTCAGAAACGGTAATACCTACAAGGTTGGTCGAATTCAACAAAAATGTTCTATTTTGGGAAACTAGAATAATTTCTTTTCAGATCGAAAATCTGATTGTTTTTGAAATATTCGCCATAAACTAGAATTTCTGGCGCCTCCATTTTGAATTTTATAAAAGAAGGCAGATCACCTTTCATTATTGTTCCATATTTGTTATGATCTGATATAGACCAATTTGCAATGCGACGTTTCGTTCATTAGGTTCCATCATCAACATATTTTTTTAAATATGGACCTTTCCTTTTTTCATTGATTACCATAGTCACTGAAAGTAAATCCACAAATAACGGATGGTTTAACAGTAATATTCATTTTCACTGGCAGCAAAAAATCCCTTCATACAAATTTCCAAGAGAGATATGGAGTTAATGATTGGCTTGGTGTGCAGGACACCAAGATTATAGGTCCCTACTTTTTTGAGACGCCTTTGAGAGGGTAATTACATTTAGAGTTCTTGTCGGAGACTCTAGTTGAGTTGTTAAATTATTTGCCTTTGAATAATCTGGCATGATGAAGCTCCGCCACATCGCAGAACTTGATACGACTATAGATGCCAGAACGATGGATAGGAAATAATGGCCCTATCAAATAGCATCCACGTTCACCTGACATGACCCTTCTGAACTTTTCATTTTCTGAACACTTGGCAATTTTGCCGAATTGAAAGAAACAATAACAAGACCTTGCATGGCTATAACTCCACAAATGCTGGTAATTCGCCATAAAAACAATAGTTGATTTTTTTTTGTTTGTTACACGGTATATTACATGTTCTTCCGATATGTGGAGTTTATGTATAGCTTTGAGTTCTGGAACCAAAAAATATTGGTCCCCACTTTTTTGTAAGGACTGGGAATTGTATGTCCATACAGTGATGATGAGAAACACATCGGGAAACATTTGTATTGTAATACATATCTGAATTTGTTATTATAGTGGCTACAAAAATCGATGACGAAAACTAGATCCGCATAAAAAAATAAGTTGATGATAAAATCTAAATAACGAAACGTCGCGTTGAAAATTGGTTAACATCAGATTATAATAAATATGAAACAATATTGAAAGTTCTTCTGCTTTTTTGTTAGACTCAACTGTCCTTAAATAAAACAAGGAAAACAAAGGCGATGATATATTCCCCTTCGAAGACGCCATCTGTGGGATCGACAGAACTAAATCCTTGAATATCAATGATAAACAAGACTCCTCAAGGCAGTCAGTTGCAGAACCAAGCTTCGACATCGGGCGCCACGCCGTCGAGATTCGTCATCTGTCGTCAACTGTGACGACAACTGTGTCGTCAACTGTGACGATCCCATAGATGTCGTCCTCGTAAAGGGCGATGTCGTAGCCGTTGTTCCCTCTTTTTTTGTTCAACTGAATTGTTTATAACTCCTAAACTATTTTTTGTGCAATTTGGCTCAAATGGTGAATATTGTGAAATTGATTTGTAAACTGAATTAATACTATTAGATATCTCAGGAAGGTTTTGATTCCACTGTATAACTTATTTGTTCCAAGTTTATATTGGTGCTTTATTGTGGTGCATTAACTGTGCAACATATGTGATATTTTTGAAGAAATTTGAATATTGCTAAAAGTTACTGTATGTTTGATAACCATATCAGATGCACTCAGAATGGCATCAAGTCAAATGCCAGACAGGGCATGTCAAAAAAAAATAATTCATTGAAAAATAAAGCACACAAAAGAACAAGAAAATTTTATTTGGAAAAGATGTCGAAAAATATGCTCAAATACAAAGTTGTATCACCATTCAAATTATTATTATTTTTACTATAATTTTGAGTTATTTCTGTATGACAAGTTCATTTCTAAAATTCATTTGAATTTATAGGAATATTTCTTTAAAACCACTAATTTCAAGTCTGAAATTTCATTAGTTTGGACTTCCATTGTCTAATATAATATAAAATGACTTGAAATTCATGAAAGAATCCATGAAATTGGAATGAGTAGCTGAAAATAACAATTATATTAACCAAAAAAACTGTGAAAAGAAACTACGATTGCAAGAATTCCATTTAACGAAAACCCTGCGAGTGCGAAAAATCCACAAGAAACACACAAAGAGAGGAGAAACCAGCAAATTGGGAATAGCAGAGCATGTTTGGAATCATCAACATAACATCAAGTGGTCCCAAGCTGAGATCATCCACAGGAAGGAAGCGGCGAAGCAGATAGGGGGAAGAGAGGATAGCCTAAATCAGATCACAATACACCGGCAAGAAAATTTCTCTAAAAAACATTATGTCTTCAATAGTAGTGAAGGTCGATTCTAGACTTTTTGTCCCTACTGTCCCTATAAGAAAAATTCCACTGTATAAAGTCTGGGGAACGAAGAGATTATCGTTGATGGATATCTCATCTTAAACATTTACTAAGAAATGCACTATTCAGCGTTTCATAAACTACTGGATAAGGCAGGATATCCATGATATTAGATTCATAAAGTGTGGCGTTCTAGTAATCTTATGTTACTGAAATATTCATCCAAGCGAACTGAAAGAGGAACATTTCAAGGAGATATTAATTTTATTGGGAATAAGCTTTTTCGCTTTCTACTTATCCATAATTGAACAAAGAATCAAGGGGAACTTCCAGAAAAATAATAACTGCAAGAAAAACTTTCCACATAGAAATGTAGAACAAACACATAAGTTTCTTTCAGATACAAAGTGTTAGAGAAAACTCTTTTGAAACGACTACTCCCATATGAAAATTGAATTACACGAAAATCACTTTTTCCCATTCAGTTTCAACTACAAATGGAAATGAAACAGATGCTATTCACAGAAATGCTACACAGTGTGTGATATGAAAATGTGTTGATATAAACTGTCATTTACATGAAACACTACCATCCCCAATGATTTACTTCGAAGTTTCGGGACAAGACACCTGTATTACCTCATCAGCGACGTTTAAAATACCATAATTCGAATTTCATATTCAAGTCCGATTGTCAGTTAATGGTTCTTAATAAGAAGTTATGAAAATAATAATAGATAATAAATCGTTATGATGTGGGAAAAAGAATGAAAAACCTAATATTCATTATGAATACAATTGTTTAATTCATTTTGACTAAGTGTTTCATCATTTTTGTAACTTTTTATTCGGAATCCTTAATTGAAAATCGGACTCAAATATGAAAATTGATTTCTGAACAACTTTTTCAAATAACTAATTTCCGTATTTTCAACGCGAAGCAAAATATCGAGAATTTGCCCTTTTCGCGGGATCGTAGTAGGTCCGTTAGTCCGTTAGTCAGGTACCCTATTGGACGAAGCATTTCTTATTGAAGACATTCAACAACATATGATTAGGATACTGAAAAATGTATGTATACGGAAGTAATTCAAAAGTTTCCCAAAAATAATAAATATTGGAATTGGAAGACATAACTTTCTGGTTTGGAATACCTAACTTCAAATTTAAATTCATTGATTATTTTTCGAAATGAAGGTACTTTATACTTGAATGAATTCCAAAAAAGGAAATTGTACGACAATCTTCCGTAACAAACCATCCATTTTTACTGAAATGAAGAGCACAATGTGATTTTAAAAATTTCGCTAGTGAAATCGGGAACAGGCTTAAAAACACTTACTTTCGTTTACTTTTGTCTCATTGATTATATTTTCTTTAGCAGTAGGTCTTTACAGATTATTGAGGAATCTCCAGAAACTGAAAAAAGCTTAGCGGACATCGAGGAGCAGTATCGGCAATGTTTGAAAATAGGACAAACACTGAATGAAGTTAGCGATTTATTTATTCAAATGGCTATACTAGTAGATTCACAGGTGGGTAAGAAAAAGTAATAATCAATGTTGAAGCTTACTATCATGATGATAATTTTTAGTTATTATTCAAGACAAGAAATTGACGTGTATTAAATGTATTTCAAGTCGGTAATAAAGTTTTGGAAATATCTCAAATGGTTTGCGTTTTATTTACAAAAAAAGTTGTCAAGTCCTTATTGGAAAACCCATTATTAAATGATTTTTTTCTACGAGAAAACTAATTATTCAGTTGACTTCATAGTTCATAAAATGCAATACTTATGTTGAAAAAGTATTCATGATGTTGACAAATATATTTTGGAATAAAAGTTGATATTAATTTTCGTAATCATGTCTCTTAAATTACAACGGAAATAAATAGTATCGGAAACGTATATACCCATCAGATTATTCATTTTTCAGCATGACATGGTTGATAGAATAGATTATCAAACAGAACTTGCCAAAGAGTTCGTTGAAAGGACTCCAAGTATACTGAAACAAGCTGCGAGGAAAAAGAACAGATTTTTTAAGGTAATTTCATCTTGATTTGGGAATCCTTTGACCGATCTTTGCTTTATTTTCAGTGTAAAGTTTATTGTCTAGTTGCAGTTATCCTATTGGTGATCATAATTTTCATAACTATTTTCAAATATTTCGAAAAATGATTAGATGCATAAAAATGTATGTTCAATGATTATTTATTGACCAAAGTAAAATAGTTTTGACTAAATAACTGATTATTGAGCTCCCTAAAAACCATGTTCTCGTGTTTCATTTAGAGCTATAGAGTAAAAGAAATAATACATGTTTCGTATATTTGTGAAAATTTTGGTCCTTTTGTTATCTTCCTATAAATGATGCTTTCATAAAAAACATAATACTTACTAGAATGACCAGATTTTGCTAGATACTTTTCCCAGTTTTCCTGAAAATTCATAACGATATGGCTATTACATTCGACGTACCTACTGATGGTTTCTTCAAGTATTGATAAATGAAGGAAAATGTCCTGCAGTCGGTATTCCTTTAATCACGTATTTTTAGTATAACGTGAAGGAAAGTGACCGTTCTATTACTAGAATAAGAAGAAGAATTCGACAATGTATTGAACAAGAGAGCCTTCAGTTCGAGAATGTGAATTTTAAAATTTATGTTGATACTGTTTTACGTTGATTAAATAATTTCATCGAATCACTGCCTTTTTTTCTCGATTAGGAAATCAATACGGACTAGACAGAAAAACAATTTATTTCCTGGATGAAATAATAATTCCAGCACTAACAGATTCGAATGGAGTTTCCTATATAAAAACCTACTTGAATTATTATTGGTAATGCAAAAATTCTCCAGAATTTATGAAATCAACACGTAAGCAGTAGTAAGTTGATAATAATCAATATTATTTGGGCCATAAATCTCAATTCAATCAATAATAATGGACACGTGTTGATTCATATTATTATCATTCAAAAGTCTCCAAAAGACATTTTCTCAATTTTCAAAAAGTCTAAACTGTTGATTACAAAATTTGACAGGTATAAACATAGTCCAGTTTCTTACGAATGTTATGACAGGTATGCTTTTACAGGTAATAATTAAAAGTCAATGGCAAAATGCCAACAGTTTTTAGAAGCCTGTTTGATTGAATCAAATAGTAACCGATTTTTTTCGTGCGTTGCTACATATCTTCAGTAGAAAGAGGTTTGGTTCAGATTTTCAACAACATAATAATGAATTCCATAATATACAACTCTGACGCCATTTAAGGTTTTCTGTAATTTTGAAGTTTTCGAGATTCTATCTGTTCTTTCAGGACTTTTGTGTATTGGTATCTATTACCATAGTTACGATTGGTATACGATTGTTGATCAACTCAATCAGATTATTAGGAGTGTGTCAAAATTAAAAAAATATATTAGCGATTTTGATCACACCACTGGCTACACGTAGCTTTGTAAATATTTATGTCAACATTACGGCGAAATGCGTCGTCATTGAAAAAAGTATAAGGGGAAAAATTTAGAAAATATGCCATTTAAGTATCCCAGCAATTCCTCAAAATTCTAAATACTTCACTGGATTCATCAGGATACGGTTTAATAATGTGCAGAATTGAGGATATTGTCCGNGAGGATATAGTCCGAAAGTAATCAATATCTCAGTAATGCAGTCCAAAACTAACCGCCTGTATTATTCCTGAAAAATTTTTGATATTCAGATCACCGTTTCATAAAATTAATATTCCACACAATAAAGCAGTGTATAAATCAAATATTCAGGAGTAACGTTATAGGACGTGATTGGCATTATTAACAGCCACCTTGATCATCCGATTTAACGTCAATAGACTATTTTATGTAGGGTTATTTGAAGCAAAAAGTTTATTGAAGTCAACATCTCACTAACATTCAGTATTTGGAGAATACAATCAGACAGTGCTGTGCAAAAAAAATTATAAAGTCATTGATTAAGTTCCAAATTTTCAGTCATACTGTAACATGAAATTCATAACGGTTACATTATTTTGACGGTTTTCAATTTTTCAGTTGTACTTTTTGAACAGAAAATGTATCTTTTGTTACTTTCTCAAATACACTTCAATAACACTTCTGTCTAATTTCCAAAAATAATGAAAATTGACTATGAATCTGATCTGCATGACTTGTTACTCATGAAGAAGTAAATATGAAATTAATATACTTTTAATCAATTTACTTTTTCTAAATGAATCGTTAATCATCAGAAATGACAAAAAATTGTCCTAGATTGATGAAGTTTGATATGGTTTCATAAAATTGTAAAAGAAACAACTTTTTTAAATTTTTCAAATGACCTTTCTTGGAATTCTGCGGAGAAATGACATTTAAGGTTTTTCTGACAAAATGTAAATTTTACCAGGCATTGACTAATTCTGCAATTTATAGTCACATAATGAAGAAAAGAGAATTGAAACCTTCAATACTTTTCAACACTTTTATTTGTAACTAACGTTACTGGGGGACAATGTGGTCGAAATTTCCAAAAACGGTATGCTGAACATGAAAAGTCCTTCAGACTAGGTAAAAATGATTCGACGTTTTCAAACCATTCCTTGGCATGCAACCACAAGTTTCCGAATCTAAACGATACGGAAATTTTGCACTTGCAAGGAAGGGTTACAAACTCAATTATTTAGAATCCTTGGAAATTCACAAGCATAAACATTAATTTTCAAAACTAATGGTTTGTTGACTGGGAAATTTCATTCAGGAAGTGGAGGTAGATAATTACAGGCAGGCTGATCAAAAATGAATTGAAGTATAACAGTCAAACATGTAATTCATTACTATACTATATCCGTTATTCACAAGGAAAGCTTATTTTGGAATGGCAGGTACTACCTGGCCAGGAGGATAGGCAATCATGCATACAACAATGAATACAGGTAAGTGCGATGGATTCTTTCGAAGGGTTTTCTAAAGGCGACACTTTCTAATTTCTTATTTTAGTAATGAAACCGAACTTATTCCGCAAAATAGTATGTCTATGGTCGTTTTATACTATTGCAGGCCCAAATCTCGACGCAAAATTCGCCAAGTAGTGGTCTGCGAAAGGCCGAGTTCTAGTGAGAGACGCGAAATCGAATGAGTCGATTTTTCCTGCTCGCTCTCACAGAGAGCCGCGATGTTTTCGATAGATCTTGCATTTCGTCGACGTACAGGTGTTGGTCGATCGTTTACTGAACCAGTGGACTCCAATTTATCCACAACATTGAAAAATGTGGAAGATTTGAGAAATCGGATAATTGCTGGGTGTAACGCAATCAAAAACGATCCTGGTGTTTTTGAAAGAGTTCGGGATTCGATGAGAAGAAGATTGAATTCTTGAATCCGAGCGGGTGTAGTCATTTTCAACAGTTCTTGTAGATTAAGAAACACTACAGGTAATTTTTGGTAATAAATTTTTTTTCGCTTCGTATCTTCGAAACAAAGAGCCCTATCAAAAATCATCAAAGGACAAAATATCCTTAGTCCAAGGAATAGTCCCTGAAATTTTTGCCGCATGTTCAATAAACACCCTGTATTTTCGAATATAAAGTTTATTGAGATCAAATCGTGAGGTGTATGTAGTTTATGAAAATAATAATAAGAGTTTGTCCTATGAACCCATTTCGGTTATTCGTTGCCTACCACAAGCATATACGACGCGAAATCTCAATGCAACAAGAGTCATTTAATTTTTCTATTTTATGATTTTTCATTATATTTTTGAATAACAAACTCAATCTAGTCATTCACATTTCATAAATGTTAAATTAATTACGGAGCTGTCTTTATACATTTCCATTAGTCATTCGTAAGGTGGAAACTATAAACCTTCATTTCTTGTAAACAATTACGTTTTATATACGTTGGCAATAACAAGCAGATAGTACTCGTAAGAGTAGGTAGGTACTAACATAGGTACAGATTAACAATGTTCAGCAATATTTTCGAAATTTCCATTTGAATCATGTTATTCTGTGTATTCCGAAGCATCATCAATTCAAACACATATACCTATCCAAGATACCGACGACAATTTGATAAGATATGCAAATATTCAACGCATATAACATTCCATTATGAGTAAAGATAGGTTAGGTGAATTGTTGAAGGTAAAATTATAATTTATTTTTAACGTCCAACTCACAAGTGTTTTTCAGGTTAGAAATAAAAGTGAAGTCAACATAGAAGTCGAAAATGTAAGTAGAACAATTTTTATATTATGTTGTCATGACATTGACTAATCTACAGGTACCGACGACAAACGGAGACGTTAATTTGAAAAAAACATTCGAGAGAGCTGAGGTGATAGGCCAATGGATAGAGCGGGTTGAAAAAAATGTAGATGAAATACGGCAATTCATTAGTAAGCTAGATGACTTGAGTTTAAACCTCAGAGGTAAGTAGAATAATTATTGTACTAGGTATTCGATGATCCATACGCTTATACTTTTCGCCAGTGGCGGAACAATTGTTTTGCATACAATAACTTCAATACATAACTTTCAATCAATAATAATGGTGACAGAGTGAATTATTTTTCGTAGGTTATAAATAGTTGGTTATCAAACAAATGATTTCTCGGATTTTCCACTAAATTAAATGTGCTGAAATTTTTCTGGAAGTGAAAGTAAGGTGCATCTAAAACCAGTGAAAAATTAATATTTATCAAAAACTACATCACAAAGTATCTTAGGTTAGTTCCTGATATACCACAGCCGTGGTGTGACAGTTGGCAACGCCGCACACCCATGAATCTGATGTCTTAGCATAGAATACTAAGCAATCTATTCTGTGGTCACATATTGCTAAATGCAGAGCTAGCAAATGATGTGCATTTTTCAGAGCATTTAAATGTTTTTCATGAAATAACAAATCACCTTCGTAGAGAAAGGAACAAGAAATTATGTGCTGCCTAAAACTTATCGCTTATCGCTTATGATCTGAGTTAATAATAATCATCAGCATTGAAAACACATTTTTTGTCGTGTCTTCTCCATTCTCTTGATCTTCGATTCAGATCTTTCTCTCAGATGTTGTTTCATCAGAGATAATGATAAAGATTTCAGACGTGTGTGGAATTATTCCTGCTATATTCAAAAGCTGAAAAAATATTGCTAAAGGCCATCTCCTAGTTAGTCTGGAAATGGACCACACATTTTATCCACAGTATGGACACCTCCTTTATAACAATTATAATCCATGATGATTACTGGCTAATTAGTTCTAAGATTGAGTGTCGAATCGTTGCGCATGGTAGAAAGCAAGATTACATCTTTGTTCTTCTTTGGTGATTAAAACACAATGGGCTTATCTTTTTGGAAGCCGAAAATTGATAAATCAACCATTCTTTTTCCATTCGGTAAGAATTGTAAGGTTAAATCACTCTTATTTTTTATATCAATAATCGTTATTCTATTTTCCAAAAGTTTTTTGGAAACTTGTGTAACAATTATCACAGGTAAAATTTCTGTTTTTTCTTCCCCAAAGTGGGTTTAAAAGAAGGTGGATATGTTCAAAAAATCATACGGACTATCTGGCTTTTGATCACAATCAACTTTAAAATTGCTGACATTAAAAGTTTTGGCGCCACATGAATTGAATATTTTCAGTCCGTATTTTGCCGGTTTTTCTTTTGTTGTAGGTACTGAGAGAAGCTACACCTTTTTCTGTAAGGGAGCAGCATTTCATCAACTATTTGTTCGCCCAAATAGCAATTATTCTGTCAATTGTCCACAAAACGATCAATAGTGAATCGAATGGCAGCAAGTTTATCAGTATTTTTTTTAACGCCTCTGCCACTTTCATTACCAAATCTGATAGAGGTTAGCAATGAAAAATGATTACAACTCATACCAGCTCTGAATATTTCCGAACCTGTGCCTTCAGTTGTCCATTATTCGAAAAAATCTGTATTGTTTTGTTTTTTCACTTCGGCCAAATATAATAATCCTACGTATGCCAATATTTCGTTTTTCTTGGCTGGTCGTAGTTCATTCGTATTTTTCCAATTTATATGTTTGTACAAATTACAATATTGTCAATACTATCTGCAGGGAAAAATAACTTGTAAGCATGTTTCACATCAGTAATGTTTCAGGGACAAAATTTTAGGAAATATCCTTTACAATATTTTCGCAGATGTCCAGAAGAATTCACTTCTGAGTGGATGTTTGTACCACCTCATTTCATTATTTCCTTCAGAGAAAATATTTTCCCATTTCCTTTCCTGTGGTTTCCTCTTCGAAGTCTGAAGCAATTATTACATTTCGTTTACTCCTTTCTTCATCTGATTCTGTGCTGTGATCACTCCTCAATCCTTCCACCCTCTGATGTATCACAATTTCCTTCTTTAGATTCTTTAAATATTACTGGAGTTCTATCCCAAAACCAAACCGTTAGTTTTAACACTACGACACGTGTTTCAATCACCAAGTAACCAAGTTCATTAAGTTACAGTTGAAGAAATGCTGACCCCTTACAGATTTAAAGCCAATTTGTCATGGCGTTCCTCAGGGTATTGTCCTCGGCCCGTTATTACTGATCATTTATATGAATGACTTATGTAGCTTTATTTCACCAACAAAATGTGTTTTGTTTGCCGACGACACAACCCTCATATGCTCAGACAAATCACATACCAGTTTACCAATTTAATGGCAGAAATAAAACTGGTGTATTTTCACACCGGTGCGGCGTGAGTACTCAAAGCTTGAAAATTCAATTTCAAACCTTTCAGTTTGACAAGCGTTCAAAAAGATATTCATTTGTTTCCATATATCGATAGAGGTTTTGGGACACTCCACTAGTCCTCTTCGAATGATACATCTAGCAGCAAAGGTCACATTCAAATACTAAAGAAGAGAAGAGGTATAGTATAGCTACTGGACTGAGTCATGGCCGGTGGGAGAGATCGTATCTGCGTAAAGTTTGGGTTGGTGTATGACAAAGAAAGTATTAGGAAAAAAGGAAAACAAACTTTTGTTTGCAATTATACGTAGTACGGATTGAGGGATAAACAATGAATGGATGTTAAAATGCCATTTGGGTTCTTGTGGATATATAAAAGGCAAGCTCACCGGCCATGACTCAGTCCGGAAGCTCTAAACAGTTCCACAATCGTTAAAAAATAAACTAATTATCATTGTAAAGGTTACTGTGTTCAAGAATGTCCGTCATTGCCAGGGTCAAAGTCAAGAATA